CGATGAGCGTTGACGTGAATGAGAGAAAGCTGCTTACACAAATTCTGATCAGATGTTGTATACCCCTATGATGTATGCGGGTGGCATGACCGAAGAGGCACGCGAGGCCAGGCGGAAGAGAAGTCTACTGGGAACCGAGGGTACAGGCTGGGATTGTGCCTGTGCCGTCGTGTTTTTAGCCGGTCCTCATGCCCGCTGGATGACCGGTGTCATCCTGCCCGTCGACGCCGGCGTGACGGCCGCTGTAGGCATCGGCTTGCCAAAGAGCGCGAGTGTCAATGGTTCTACGAAATAGGTCGTAACAGTCAAACGCTATCTAAACTTCAAGTGTTTCTACCATGTAGCCGCCGTCCCTTCAGTGCTCCAGTTGTTTTCCTGTCCACGAATGATTTTGTGGATTATCTTTATCAAAGGTTCTCGGCTCACAAATAAGTATCTCTGCACTAAACCCCAACCACTGTTCAGGTATTCATAACGTAAGAGACATGTCCCCAGAAGCATCTAACTGTGTATCTCCGGCAGGACAAACAACGTCCAGAAATCGTCAAAGTTGAGCGTCTGCGTCGCGCCCATCGAGCCGCCTTTCGTCTCGCGTAGGGTGAATCCGTTGCCCAAATACGCGAAACGGTTGCGCGTTGCGTTCGGCATGAGCGTAAATTCGTAGTCCTCCCAACGCGGATTCTTGAGTCCCTCCATGAAGTGGAAGCAGGTGCCGGCGTAGATGGCCACGACGGGCCCGTCGACGGTACCGCGTTTGTACCAACTGCGGCAGTCGCCCACCCACACGGTGCGTGCGAGGTACTGCTGCACGTGCTCGTTGTACTCGTCGTTGGCGTCGGTGCGGATCTCGAGAGCCTTGTAACATTCGGTTTGAAGCTTTTCTAGGCACTTGTAGATGTACACTCCAGTCATCTGAATGGCGAGGATCAATGAGCCGTTAGCCAAAGGTGAGTTAGGGCCGACGAAGCCTATAAAAACAAGGGTCAGGATGTTGATAACGATACTAGTCCAGGAAACATAGCGGCAAAATATGCTGAGATAGGTTGACGGCGCACGCTTACTAAAGTAATTTGGGAAATCCGGCACCGTGATCCCCCAGTACGCCTTGGGCATGTCATTCCTCCACTTCCTCGCCAGGTCAACGCCCCGTCGGCCCACGATCGGGATGCTGGGCTGGAACGTCGTGTCGAAACCCGTGGCGCACACGATGGCGTCAAATTGCAGCTCATCGCCACTGTTGGTCAGTATGCCCTTCTTGGTGATTTTGGCAATGTCGTCCCACCGTGTGTCGACGTTCTCTTGGAGGAGAGCTTCCAAAAAGCCGGGGCCCGGTGTCTGTCCCCGACATCCGACAGGAAACCTGGGTAGAAGCATTTGGCGTAATCTTCGGCCCTTTTCGCTGTCCCCCAGTCGGGCTGTCATCGACTTGGTAAACATCTCCTGTGCCTGGCGCTGGACATCGGTGTCCTTCATGGCTCGTTTAAAGTTGTCGATTCGTCGGTCCATGACTGCGCGTCGGTGGTTGAGCAGGTAATCGGGATCCTTCTCGAATCTTTCTAGCGTCTCCTGACTGAAGTTAAGTTTCTCGTCCATGTCGGGGTCATTCGCTGTAGGTTCATTGATGCCTGGTGCGGGCGAGATCCATGTTTGGGATCGCACGAACGATGTCAGTGATTTCACGACTGTGAGAGATTTTAGTTTGCCATTCCCAGAGCTCTACCATGATGAGCGTGAATAATATGAGGTCTCGTGCAGGCTTACCAGCAGCTAACTTAGGAACTATCTGGATTCCTGAAGATCCAATTCCGATCACACCGACTTTCTTGTTCTTGAAATCGTATGTCGCATCCCAGTGGGCAGAGTGCAACAATCTGCCCTCAAAGTCATTGATGCCTTCAATATTGGGCCATTTCCAGTTGCTGTGAAGCTCCTGTGTAAGCATGACTATTCCTCAAAGGTCTAAGAAGAGACATACTTGAGAACACCAGAAGCATTGATAAAAACATCGCACTCGTCGTCGATTAAATTGCCACTGGCTTCGTCTCGCACCTTTAGCTTCCACTTGCCGGGTTCTTCGGCCCATCGAGCTTCGACAACTGAGTGTTGGAATTTCATATACTTTTCTGCGTCGTACTTGGAGGCTGTGGTTTTCATGTAATCGTGGATCTGTTCTGATGTAGCGTAATAATTTGGCCATTTCGGATTTGGCTCAAAAGAGTATGCATAGTTGTGAGCGGGAATATCACATTGACACCCAGGGTATCTTTTGTGATGAAGTCAGTCAACCATTCTCGTCTTCACACGATTCTTAAAATCTGAGGCTGTCTATCACTGAATATATTACGCACCTATTCTCAAACCACGTGCCGCCCAAGTCCTCGTTGCGTTCGTATATCGTGAACTCCGCATTCTTGTCGTCCATCTGTTTACGAAACATCATGGCCATAAACAGGCCCGAGTAGCCAGCACCCATACATATAACACGGACATGCCGCCTCGCCCCCAGAGGCACTTCTGGGATCACATAAGGGCCTTTGGACAACGTCGTCGACTCAACGGCCTTCTTGGCCGAGGCCACTGAAGGAGGCTTCACCTCGGCCTGAAAAACATCCACCAAACCAGGGGCCATGGTCTTTGCTGTGCTCTGTGCCTTGGTGGTTTTGGTAAGAAGTACTTTGTGCTTGTTACTTGCTCAAAGGCTAATATCAAGGACTAGTATTCGTTTGAGTAAATGTACACATCTTGTGCGCCCTTTGTTCTTTGGCCAACAACATCCCCATCCCCGTCGCTGGTCAGAAGTTATTGCCAAGCCGGCCGGGTCTGGGCCGGATTCTCTAAACCCGGGCAAGGCTGAGGTCTCGGCCATTTGGTGAGTGCCTACTGGCCTGTGGCAGAGTGGACCGGCCCCCAGGATGCCTCCCCGCACTTCCCGTCCCAGGGTCATTTTCATCCGTTTCAGCCGGGGTGTGCTTGCTCACCACTGTGCTTCTGTGCCGCTCACATTGTGAAATTGATTAGTGTCGAAGTTTCCGGCTCGGAAAGAGAAGAATATTGGTAAATGCCTGGTTCTGGAACCATGTCAATGAATAAACAAATCCTCGAGATTGAGAAAGACGAGATCCTTTCCCCTAGTACATTCATTCCTATCTAGGTATTTCCAAGCGCTAGCTAGACCTAGAAAATTGCCACCGCACAAGGAGGGCTAGCCACGCCATTAGGAACTTTGAGCGGCATGCTCGACATGAAGAAAGAATATCGGTTCAACTTGGCACACTGTTCAGCCAGCTCTTCCAGGTCAAACATCTCACCGATCGGCATTCCCCAACCCGCCAGTCCCCATTGGTGAACACTAACTCCAGGCTCGTTGTGAGGTCCAGCGATAGGGGAACGCTCGAAGCTGGGGGAGTCGCTGACAACGGCGGTAAAGCGACTGTCCCAAAGCCACTTGAGTGAAGCCCTATTGGCCTCGAAGCCTAGGTAACCATTGGACTGCTTGGAGAACTCCTCCTGCTCTTCGGATGAGAACTTGTTGTAAGATGCGACGAAACCGGTACGCAAGAACATGACATCACCTGGCTTGATGATGATGTTTAGTTCCTTGATCATTTGCTGCAAGTCGGCGAACTCAATAGCCCCGGATACAAAAGGGTCTTTGGCCTTGTTGTTGCGCTGTGACCATCCATACCAGTCCAACAGAATTCCACGGGTCACGATACCACCTGCCTTGGACCATGCTGTTAAGAGTATTTAACAATCACGCAGCCAAGGTCAATCAGGGATAGAACGAATAGTACTCACCATCAATACCAAGTGCACCTGAGCCGTCAATTTCTTTCTGGGTATTGCCATTATAAAATTGCGCGGTGTCCTGATATGCTGGGTGGAATATTAATTAGTCCCGTCCTTCCAGCGGGAGACAAAAACACCTACCATAATGACGGAAGCCATCCCACTGGGTGCTGCATTGTGTATTGAAAGTCAAAATCTCATCGTTGATTGCCCGTGGAGCGAGATTGATCAACTGGTGCTGGAACCGTGGACGCTTGAAGGCTGGAAACGTCGGCTTGTCAATCGGCCAGTCGAGCGAGACACGAATGCCCTGCTGGATCTCGAATGCTGCTGCCTTGACCGTGTCGGGAGTGATCAGGTTCAGGCGACCCAGCTGGTCATCTTCTCCGAACAGACCCCAGGCATTTCCTGGAGGGCCATTCTTGTCGAGAGGCAGCTCATTGAATTCTGGCCACTTCATTTTCAGATATTCAAAGCAAGTATATGGATAGAAAGGAGCGTGTAGATTCGGGGCCGCTGTCGACTATTCTGAGTTCTGAAGCCTGACCACACGGCCGCTAGGGATTGTGCCACATTGTCTATTCTCCCATCATGTTTATCCATCCCTGCAATGTGTTAGCCAAGCCGGCAAGGTGCGTCAAGCAGCCTCGACTCAGCGATGATGCTGCTGGATGTAGTCAAAGTTCGGTTGAGAACCAAAAAACAACCGACGGCGATGGCAGGGGATTGCGTAGGAAGGACTTCCCCATACAACATATGGCCGTGGAGAAAACTCCATTCAACCTCAGTATGAGGGGAGCTCATGAAATCCAAGACGGCTGCTAAAGTGGATATGAGAGAGTGTTTCATGGTAGGTAACATTCGGCTGTATTGTGGTCGTACCGGTAAGTTATTCGGATGTTCTCCACCTTGGCAGTAGCCTGGTATGCTCGAAGCTTGGACTCCCGAACGTTCATCGTCTCTAGCCTGGAACTGGGCAAATTGCGAGTATGGTAAGTTTCTTGGGGACCCCGGTTTTCGTCTAGACCACGAGTCCAATATGCAAGCCCAGCAGAGCCAGAGCAGATATTGACACCGTTCTCTCATACGGCCGAGCCAAGAGACTGAGACCTACATATAATTGCGAGCCAGTCCTTATTGTCTTTTGGAACGTCTCAGATCTTTCCCCCTCCACCTTGGACTCCTTGCCCAGTATCATCTCGAGCTCTGATATGGCGATCACACACAGTAACACCGCCAGTGACGTTGTCCTCGCGAATAAGACAGAGATGTCTCCCAACACCGAAGTCGTCGAGGACGCCTTGGAGAAGGTCGACACGGTGCATAATGATGAGGCTATCAAGGTCATTGCCCAGTACCATGGCGAAGAAACCTGGACTGCAAAAGAGGAGCAACAGCTACGCAGGAAGATCAACTGGCGACTCATGCCCATTCTGTGTATCACTTATGGCCTCCAATACTACGACAAGTCGATGTTGGGTCAAGCAGTAGGCGTTTACTGGCTCTGGTTGTCACAGTTTGTATGCTGACACTGACCAACAGGCCATCTTCGGTCTTGTCGAAGACCTCAACCTCATAGGCAAACGATACTCTTGGTCTTCGTCCATCTTCTACCTCGGTTTCATCGTAGGAGCTTGGCCAAGTATGATCATCGCCCAACGATTCCCTGTGGAAAGGGTGGCTTCGGCTCTGATTGTGGTTTGGGGTGTCTGTCTTGCCTTGACTGTCGTGTGCACCACCTACCAGGGCCTGTATGCTCAGCGATTCTTCCTGGGAGCGCTGGAATCTGGAATTAGCCCCATGTTCATGCTTATCGTGGGCGCATGGTACAAGAAGGACGAAGCCGCACTTCGCATGGGGTATAAGACTTCTCCTTCCTTTCCCTACACATAGCATTGCTAACTAGCATCTTCAGTATTTGGTACAGTATGACTGGTTTCTCAGGCTTAGTGTCTCCCCTAATCAATTATGCCCTCGGCCACATCCGCGGCAGCCTGTCGTCGTGGAAATATATGTACATCTTCGCTGGCTGCATTACCGTCCTCTGGGGAGTTTTACTGTACTTCATCCTCCCTCCGGATCCTGTGCGCGCGAAGGGTTTTACAGAACGCGAGCGATACGTTGCGGTGGCACGTTTGCGCACAAACAATTCCGGTGTGCGAAACACGCACTTCAAAATGGAACAGGTCAGGGAGGCTCTGCTCGACCTCAAGTTTTGGCTCATGTTCTCATTTGCTCTACTATCCATGATCGCCAACGGCCCCATCTCGAGCTTTTTACCCATTATAATCGACGGCCTGGGCTTCAGCACGCTCGACTCGCTGCTGCTCTTTATGCCTGCCGGTGTCTACGCCGGCTCCATGATGGTCGGCATGGGCTTTCTGGCGCGCAAAATTCCACAATGGAGGATCTGGCTGGCGTGTATTTGCCAGGCGATCACGACCCTCGCTTCGCTTTTGTTGTGGAAGCTCCCCCTGCACCCTGTCGGGGGCATGTTGTTTGCTTGCTATATCCTGCCGTCCATTGGCGCCAGTTATGCCGTCATCATGGGTCTCCAGGTCGCAAACACTGCGGGCTATACGAAGCGGTCCGTGGCATCCGCTGGTCTCTACATTGGTTATTGCGTCGGTAAGTATCTCGCTACGTGTGTATATGGTCGAGAAACGCAAGGTCAATTTGTCTGACTGCTTTCTTTGTCACAGGAAACTTCATTGGTCCTCTGCTCTTCAAGGCAGCCGACGCTCCTCGGTACCCGAAAGCATGGGCCGTTGTAGTCGCAACCTCCATCGCGGCCGCTTTTATTCTGATATTCTATCGCTTCCTCTGCACGCGCGAGAACAAGAAGCGTGATGCCATGGGTGCCGAAGCTTTCGAGCACGCTTATGAGGATGATCTCACGGATGTTACTGTTCGCCTTCTTGAACTCTTGTGTCACAAAAGATCCTTTACTGACATTTTTCATCTAGAACAAGCAATTCCGCTACGTGTACTGAGTACGAATTCAGAAGCAGAGTTCAAAGATCTGTATGTCTCAGGATTGCTTATACAGGATCTTGTCAGCGGAAAAGACAGAATGTATGGACATGAAAAAGGGCATCCAGGTCCTGCTAAGATATCGCCTTTGTTCCTTTTGTCACTTTCTCGATCTAGAGTTTTTATCTTGCTCGTACGTTCACCACCAAAAATCTCATGTAGAAATCCTTTACGAAAAGAGTTGAATACTAGCACTTCGTACCCACTTGTTTGTTTCTGACTAATTGTGATGGGTTCGCACTGTGACAGCTTCATCCCTAGAACACACGGATACTGAACTCGTTTGTTGCAGCCGGGTGGCTCAAAGCCCATCTGATCCCTTCGTTGACGGTATTGTCCCAATGTGCCGAGGCCGAAAGAAGCTTACCATATCGTCGAAAGCCATGTGGTAGTCCCTTGAAGACATTGATATTTGTCGGTACTCTATAATGATTGTCAATTGAGTCATGTGCTCTAATGAAGCAGGGCTGAAGGCCTTGCTCTCGAGGCAGTAAAACATACCCATGCTTAGATAGCTTCTTGCCATAAAGCAAACCTTCCTCTCGAAGGGGGTCGTTGCCAGCAATACCAAGCGTGGTCGGCGGCAGACGCTTCACCTCTTCGGCAGTCGCGTTCGCCGGGTTTAGTCGTCTATCATTCGGGTCCGGGGCCGTCACTTGGAGCAGGCTGTTGAACAGCGTCTTGCGCTCCATATTGAGAATCGGAGCGTTGGCCGCCTGCGCGTAAGAGGACACACTGAGATCCTTCAGTTGCGCGAGCTGCGAATCATAGCAGGCACTGAATACCAAGCAAGGGATCATCAGCACCTGACCTAAGATCTTGAGCGTCTCCGGGACTTCTGGTGCTAACTCGCCTCTAAGTACCGTCTGTACTAGTGCTGCGGTGATGTAAGCGCCCGCCGACACGCCGCCGAGAACGAGACGATGCAGATCGCCACCGATACTGTCGGCGTTGGAACATAGCCATATCAGCGCATCCTCACCGTCGTGCCATGCCGTTGGATAGACGTGCTCGGGCGTGTGGCGGTAGTTGACGTTCAAGACCATGACACCTGTGGTCAGCGCGATGCGGGAGCAGATGGCATCTTCGGACTGCAGGGTGCCGAAAAGAAACCCGCCACCATGCAGGTGCATGTAGGTTGGTAAAGGATCATGTCTGGACTCTGACGCCGAAGGGCGATATGTTCGGGCCTCAAGATGCTGGTTGTCACGGGTCGGAATAGAATAGTCCTGCATGTCGATTTGGTCTAACATATCCACCATCTCAGTCTGAGAGATCTTGTCGCGGCCCGCGTTCGTTATGCGCCTGAGTTCGGCGATCCCGGGATCTGGGCCAGCAGCCGGCTGAGTGGCTTCGATGGCGAGCCATTCTTCGCTGGGTGCCCCGTACTGGGAGAAATCGCACATACCGAAATATCGAGTGGTCGATGGCGGGAAAGGACCTCAATTTATGCACCTAGGTCGTCTGTGGGTGATGTGCCGTTTCTGGAATCGATGGGAAGAAACAAGGGAACAATATTGATCTTGATGGTGTGATGTGTCGCACCACTCTCAACGCCCAACAGCAAGTCTATATCTACTGCTCTGGATGCCTTTCGGCCCCATCCGCCCGGCTTTTTTCCCGGCATCTCTCGGCCCCTGAGAACCCTAAGGGAGGCCTTACCTGAGGGTCATTTACCGAGCATCTCAAGAGACGCTTCGCACCAAGGAGGCTTTCTTGTACCTCTGTTCAACCACCAACAGTACTACTTCATATTATGTACAAGCTGAGTCAAGAAATTTCTGGAACTTAGATCCCTGCTTCGTTCAATTAAATGCCTTGCAACTAAAAAAGCACGGCAGTATCTCCCCAACTATCAAAATCCTCGACCAAATCTTGAAACTGAAAGGCCGAGAAGTCCCCAAAATGATCCCATTGGAAATCATCAACGTCCTGTTGATTGAGCAACTTGGCTACCAGCGGACTTGTCTGGTTCGTTACAAACGGGAAATACTCGAGCCAGTCGATGCCGTTGCCAACAGCGCTCTCCTCAGAATTCATGGGCCTGACGGATCGCTCGTTCATCATGTGGCAGTTTGGAAAGTCCTCCATGCTGACTGACTTGTTGAGGGTTCGCAGCTTCTCAAAGCCCTTGTCATACACGTTCGCGGTGCCCCAGAGATCCTTCAGCCTCTTGATCGCGGCTGTGATGATGCGCAAGTCCGCGTTGGCATCGTCTCGCAAATGTTCGGTCCTGGAACCTTGTAACAGCGCGGTGAATGCCATGCCGCTGTACCAGCACGCGATTGGCATCATATACCGGATATCACTGCGGATCAGGACGTCTTTCAGGATGCGTGCGATGCACGACGCTGCCACCATGGCCGGGGTCAATGCTTTGGGAGCAGAGAGAGAATGCAATGGTCTCGTGATGTGCAGCACCACTACAATGGCAAGATAGGTTAGGTGAAGTTGATGGACGTCACGATCGTACTTTAGAGTGTGGCTGGTGCCGATGGGCAGCTGCAAATACGGAGGCAATGATTGCAGCCAGATGATCAGTTCTTTGGCCAGCTGCGTGGGAAAGACTGGAACCCGGAGGCTGGGCTTTGCCGATCTTAGCAGCTCTTTTGCAATGCGGCCGATGATGGCACACAGCCGTACCCAGTAGATAAATACCTCAGCCTTCTTCTTGTCACACGAGTTAGGAAAATCGGCGAGCGATAGTTCTGGAACATCGCAGTCTTCGGGATCGATCATGCATGGCTTGCCTTGACATATTGCAGTAAGTCTTTCGCGGCTCTGTTCACATCACAGGTCAATCGGAGAAGCAAACAACACAACACAGATTGAACAACTTACAAAGACAGTCCACCAGATTCGTCGGTGCAATCCAGGGTCGTTGATTATGTCGGGCTGGCTGGGGCTGTAGTCATTATGTATCCCAGCCTGCTGAGCATGCCTGATGACCACCGATGTCCACCACCATGACGAACTACGATTCATGACAGACGGGGCTTGAGGAGCCCACCAGTAGAACAACATGATGGCTTTTAGCGACGGTAGCAAGTTTGGCTCTTCGTTGCAGTAAAACTTCTTACAGGCTCTGTCGTAATAAGTCGGTGCAGCCTCGTGAGGCAGCATGGGTGGCCGAAGGTTGGTGCCTAGAGTTGCGATGGCATTCTCAAGCAGGGGAGATTCTTGAAGTTCTCGAAAGACACTCGCCTCGGTGAATATCGGGCACCATGTATAGCAGTACTCGAAAAACGTTTCGACAAAGAGCGGGCGCAATTCCTCCTGTGAAATGCGACTCAGAAAGCCAGGTTCCTTCGATCTAGCAGGAATCCGCTCATCAGAGTGATGGTCGCAGGTGGTCTCTTTGGTTAGTTGCGGTGAAGGGTAACAGTCTGGTATGCGGTCTGGCTTAGACGGAATCGCACTGGCCAGCGATGACACCGATAACATGTTATCAGGCGATGCTCTCGGAATACCCATGATAAAGATGCCCTGGCCATCTGCACCAGGGAGTTGCGGCTGAGTCAGGTCGAAGTCTGGATGTCCTAGAGGATCATTTGAAGCCGACTCCGCTGCTGCTTCGACTGGCCGCACTTCTACTGCGTCGTTCGCATGCTCATCAGTCAACGTCGGGGGGATCAAATTATACTGTGTGGTGTGCATCAACTGTGGCAACAGTCTTGAAGGTGTATGCATGAGCCGAAGTCGGTCTCGTTTGGACGGACGAGGACTATGGGATTGATTGTAAGTATTACTTCTCCAGGATCACCCGTGTCGCGTTGCGACAAGGCCTTTGAAGAGAACCCACCAACATTCTTTCTCTGCAGCGGAACATGGCGAACATTTATCGTGGCCCTGAGTGTTTCGGATTTCCAAATCACATCGTGTCTGCGACAAGGCGCAATCAATACCAAGACCGTATACTCTAGAGAAAAAGCCTACTTTTTTGACATGGCAAGCAGTACAGGCGAGACCTGCTCTTTTTCTCTTTCCATTCTGCACAGGGAATTGCGGCCATTGATCCCGGTCGCGGTCATCTCGAAGTCATGTAATAGCTGAAATGAAGGCAGCTCAGCTATGTACCTTCTCCCAGGCTTTTCGATCTCACAAGCAAGCGGGGTGTGTCAAGTGCAGAAGTTGGATAGTGAGGCCCAGGGCATCTCCGCAAACGAGGTCGACACGCGGGCAAGGGGGGGCCCGTGCACCATCGTGAGTGACCTAGGTTATGCACCTTGAAGTACTAAGGGAGCCTGGGGAGCCCGGAAAATCTACCTGGGAAGGGGGGGGGGTACATCGGCTTCGCACTAATCAAACTGGCGACGGGGCAGCGTGGCCGCAGCATTCCCGAGCGCCACCAGACCTCAAGAATCTGTTCGAGAAATACCTAAATTCAGGGCGCCTTACTCCGTGTCAAATATGGCTACGCCTAGTTGCACAACGTAAGATACGTGAATGTGAAGACTACTGGAAGAACAGAAGCAAAAGGTCCCCTCTTCTTTTCCTAAAACATCTCAGCGGGTAAAATAAGTATGGGAATATCGATCGCATCTTGGAGAAGATGACCTCAGCTTTCAGACTGCCCGTGCTAGACACGTTCGGTGTCCCTGGTAGGCTTGCCCGGCAGGAATTGCAAGTGGATCCGCGCGGCCCAAAAATTGTGCCATCAATGCCGCTAACATCCCCCAACGGCTGGGAGCCGGTATCAGACATGACAACAGCCGGTATCGAATCCACAATCAGCTCCTGCTGTCTGAGTTGTGACAATATGGGGGATCTCCTTGACAATGACAGGTTCGGCACGGCCTAACTACACATTGCTATTGGCCTTGAAGCCTGATCAACTGTCCTACCACGTATGCTAGCGATTGCGGCGCCAGCTGTACACCGCGCGGGGGCTTTCGAGAATGGCGATGGGATGGCGACGGCTACCGGCTCTGAAACTTGTCGTTGAGCGGATCGATGAAGCAACCTGTATCTCTGGACGACAATCTCTTTGTAGTTGGAATATATCAAGACGTGTCGAATCTTCACAAGTCTAATAAGCGAGTCTCTGTCATTTTCAGCGTCCGATTTGCGACTGATTTGCTTAGAACCACTACCGGCTGTGGCATCGCTCCAAGTTTTACGAAGATGTCGCCATACATGGAGAATTCGGGTTCATTGTCACCGCTTGTCACGGACGGTGAAGTTCCCGCTGTCTACCCAGAGACTTTGAAGAACAGGGCAACCACCAAGGTGAACGGCATCGGACACAATATCAAGGCTGCTGCCGCCGAAAGCACGACCTCGGTTCCTTTCTACAACAAGTTTGCGCTCAAGCCACGTAAATTACGCATAATCACGATCGGCGCAGGTTTCTCTGGCCTTTTGCTTGCCCACAAGTTCCAACATCGTTTTCCAGAGTTGCAGGAATTTATCCACCATAGCATGTACGAGGCACGCAGCGATGTTGGAGGTACATGGCTGGTAAACACTTATCCAGGCGTGCAATGCGACGTGCCCTCGCATATATATGTGAGTTTTATGTCTATGGGGTCTGGATAGTAGTGATACTGATACTGGTGAAAGGCATTTCCCTTTGACCCTAATCCAGACTGGCCACGCTTCTATTCCAGTGGCCCTGAGATCCACGCCTATATAAAGCGCACAGTCAGAAAATGGAATCTCGACCGTGATGTTCAACTGAACACACGGGTACTCAGCGCCCATTGGCAAGAAGATTCCGGAAAGTGGGAGGTGACGATGGAGCACGAAGGTGTTAAACGCGTGGAATATGCAGACATCATCATGTCGGCTCAGGGCAACCTTGTGTACGTTGGAGATACGCACCATCCCCTTATTATTCTATGAAAACTAACCAGCGATCGCCTTACAGCGAGCCTGTCTGGCCCAAGATCCCCGGTATCGAGCAGTTCAAGGGTCACAAGACGCACTCTGGACGCTGGGTGCATGATTATGATTACTCCAATAAGAGAATCGCGGTCATCGGCAACGGGTCGTCTGGCATCCAAATTGTGCCTCAGATGACCAAGCTGCCTGGTACAACAGTCCGGAACTTCATTCGAGGGCCTGCTTGGGTTTATTACCGAGTTCCTGCATCTAAGCATCTAGGACGAGACACCGACGACACCAACCCGGCCTATTATGAGAGCGAAAAGGAGAAGTATCACGACCCAGTGCAACACCGCGAGTACCGTAAGGGCATCATTCACCGCACAAACAAAGCATTCCGTTTGGTGAGCGCTTATGCCTTCCTCTTCAATACCCAAGGACCAAAAGCTAACCCCTATTTCTTATCAAGTTCATTAAAGGTGAATATAATGCCGAGACTGTCCGTCTTGCCACAGCCCAGATGGCCGAGAAACTAAACCACAACCCTGTCCTGATGGACCAACTCATTCCTAAGTGGGAGATTGGCTGCCGTCGTGTCACGCCTGGCCCCGGCTATCTCGAGTCATTCTCTAAACATAATTGTTCGCTGACATCGAGCCCAATTACCAACATCACTGAGACAGGAGTTCAGACTGCCGATGGTCAACACTTCGATTGCGATGTCATCGTATGTGCCACAGGTTTTGACGTGTCCAAGTGTCCTCGGTATCCAATTGTTGGACAGAACGGCGTTGCGCTCGCTGAGAAGTGGAAGGACGAGCCTACCTCGTATTTATCTGTCGGCACCGATGACTTCCCCAACTACTTTACCATGGCTGGACCGCGGTGCCTGTGCGGTCACGGCTCGCTTGTCGAGTCACTAAACTGGACTGGGGACTACTTTGTCAAGATGATCAAAAAGATCGCAACGGAGGATATCAAGTACATGGTACCCAAAGCCGCCTCGGTCCAGGCTTTCTGCGAGTACCAGGACGAGATCCATAAGAACCTCGTCTGGACTGGTGGCTGTCGCAGTTGGTACAAACGCGGTACGCAAGACGGCAAGGTAACGGCCCTCTTTGCAGGTAGCGCGGTGGTTTTTAATGCCATGATGAAGGAAATCAGGGCCGAGCACTATGACATTGTTTACAACTCCAGGAACCCATTTAGATTCCTGGGAAATGGCTTTACTGAGTGGGAAATGCAAGAGGACGCCGACCTGTCATGGTATGTTGAGGTTGCGGACCCAGTACCCAAGACATAGATTTGAGATTTTCAGATATGAAGACGGTGTACTTAGATTGTTTGGCGTGTATCGATTCAGACTATCGATACCCTTTGCTGAATATGCTTTTGCTGGTCTTGCGTGATATGCGGTCTAGTGAAATACGCTCAGTAATCGGGACCATCTTCAACGAAGCATCAATGACAGAAGTCAATACCTACGTTCCGTGTGGGCGCCTGCTCTCGGGTTCGTATAGATCTTTAAGCGGCAGCAAACAGACCCAACACGGTCTAGTCGACGATCTTTCGGCGCGGGCTACTGTATTCGGCATCCTTGATAAAGCCGGGTCCAACCACATGGCCTTCGGGTAAGAGCCCTTTAGCATCGGCTCACCAGGCTCCACCAGCGTCAGCACGAACATCTACCTATTCATATGCCTAGTACGATGATAATTGACTTGACGCGTCAGGCCTTGAGATCATTGAGCCACGCCTCACCCTGCATTTAGTCTAAGCATGACCAGGGGACTCGTTAGCCAGCCCTGCACATCACTTCATGTTTGCTAATCAGGTAAACTGGCGATATGGTCATCTTCCAGAGCCAGTTCCCTCGTCTTGCTCTTCCTGAGCAAGACATCTTCTCATTTATCTTCGGGTCTAAGAGCCGGCCAGTTCCTTCAGATCATGGTATGCTGTCTGTCTCATCCCACTGCCGGATTTGCCTTGCTTCATCGCTGATACTTACACCCTACAACAGTAATGTTCCAAGATGGCGACATAGACAAGTTTTATACCCACAGTGGTGTCAAAGAGATGTCGCAAGCATTCGGGGCTGGTCTCAAAAGCACATTCAACTGGCAAAAGGGCGACATCTTGACTCTTTTCGCCTCTAACAGTATCGACATTCCCGTTGTGATGCTGGGCACTTTGCTCGCTGGAGGAACCTTCTCGCCCGCCAATCCGGCTTACACGGCGACTGAGCTGGCGAATCAACTTATGGATAGTCAGCCAAAAGCCATTGCCATACAGTATCGCTCTTTAACAGTCGTAAAGGAGGCAGCGCAACAGGCCGGCATACCTCGACTGCCCATTTTGCTGATAGGTGCCGAACGAGATCCATCTTCGCAGATTGTACATTTCACCGAGCTACGAACCCTAAGCTCAGGGCCGACACCCAACACTTCTACACCGACCAAAATTAAACCCAAAACGGACATCGCCTTTCTCGTCTACTCATCCGGCACGACAGGGAAGCCCAAGGGCGTGCAACTATCGCACTATAACGTCACTTCAAACATCAGCCAACTACAGCCTGGTGACCAAGAGTACCTGACGTGGGACGGTTCCAAAACGTGTCGCGACATACCACTCCCAAAGACTGGCCTGGGCGGCGACAAAGTACTAGTCTGTGTGCCAATGTACCATATTCTAGGCCTCACAAAAGCCATTATCAACCCTCTGTACAGAGGCGTGACGGCAATGGTGATGGAGCGATTTGAGATCAAGCTTTGGTGCGCACTTGTCCAGCGCCACGCCATCACATTCTCATACATCGTGCCACCCATTGTATTGCTCCTATGCAAAGACAAAGCCGTTCTGTCCTATGACCTTTCTAGCATCCGCATGGCCAACTCGGGTGCGGCTCCTCTGTCGAAAGAGCTGATCGATGCATGCCATCGCCGCACAGGCATCCGGATAAAGCAGGGTTACGGTATGACTGAGACCTGCCCGACGGTTTTCAATCAGACCTGGGACGACTGGGACCGACCCGTCGGTAGTACGGGCCAGCTACTACCAAACGTTGAGGCCAAAATCTGCCAGCCGTTTGAAGAGTGCGCCTCAACATTAGGCGAGAAACAAACTACGGTTCAAAGCGAAAGTGAAGGATTGGAATTGGGCCAAGTGGGCGAGCTGTACGTACGCGGGCCAAACGTGTTTTTAGGCTATCATAATAACGTTGCCGCTACGCGAGATTGCCTGTCGCCGTCGGGATGGTACCGTACGGGAGACGTCGGATATATTGATCCAAGGGGTAACCTATTCATCACAGACCGCGTCAAGGAGCTGATCAAGTACAAGGGCAACTCAGTCGCGCCAGTCGAGCTGGAGGGCTTTTTGCTAGATCACCCGCTCGTAGACGACTGCGCCGTCGTGGGGGTCCAGTCGGCGGCACTGGGAACGGAGGTGCCGACCGCGTATGTCGTGCTGAAGGCGTCGCATACCACGAAGGAAAGCCAAGAGCTTGCGAATAAGATTCGGCAATGGTTTGACGGTCGTGTTGTGAATTACAAGAAGCTGAGGGGAGGCGTCAAGTTCGTCGGCGCCATCCCTAAAAGTGCAAGTGGTAAGATACTGAGGAGAGTGATGAAGCAGTGGGTTCGTGCTGAGGAGGGAAAGACACAAGATGGTGCAGCAAGCAGTCTTTTTGCGAAGCTATGAGGTACTTAGAATCACTCACTATCTATTTCATATTGATTAGCCCGAATGCAGGAGTTGTGATGCTCGGTTGATTTTCGACGATCAAGCGGCCTACTACCGGAGTACACGGCCTAAGCCATATTTTCTCCCAACGATGCTTAACACATTGCAATATTTTTCGTCTTGAAATACGGCTCCAGATCCCGTAGGAACGTCCATCGTGTCTCGGCCGCCCAGCCCTTCTTCTTCCAATCATTCAGCGACTCTGGGAAGTGTGCGACCTGATCCCTAACACCTGCGTCGTGCGCCACAATCACAAAGATGTCGTCATCACAATCCAGCTCCTGCAGCTGGTCCCGCGTATTCCTGGCAAGCGGGATATCATGCCCAAAGTTCAACTCAAAAAGCGGCTCTGTGGACTTCCTGTTCCGCGACACTTGAAGCTCTTCCCAAGCGCTGCCGAGACAGAAAGGAACGTTGTGGCCAGTTTCGCTGTGTAGGTCGAAAGGGTTAGGTGAGATCTTGTCGGGCATGTGCCGCCATTCTGACGGCCGAAAGATACCTGGGTAGTGACAGATATCGCCACCCATGAGAATGAAGGTAGGTGGGTCGACGGTAGTCCGGGCAAGACCGCATAGATGTCCTACAGCATGTCCTGGGCTGTCGAGAAGATAGAAGGACCCATCGCCGAAATAGTCGTGAGCAGGAAACTTACCGATACGGAGGCCGCAGGTCTCGAAGGTGATTTCGCGCAAGTTGCGGCCTCTGTGAGCACCAAATCAACATTCTATAGGGTAGATCTTCCTTGGAGAGCCACAGGGTGTGGGGATACTTACTCGTAATCTGACTGACGAATAGGTGAATCTGGGTTTCCAGGGTAGCCAGGCAGCATTGCATCCTTGAAGCCCTGGCCGACTACAAGGTCTGTGGATGAGGGGAATGTTGATGGGTCACCAATGTGGTCCCAGTGCCAATGACTATTAGGTTGTCAACGTAAGACCAATGTGGATCAGGTCGTAGATGAGAGGAAGACTACGTCTGGAGAAAATTCGAAGACACGGTTCAAAGGCTGGTGCTTACCTCCAAATCACGGCCTCAATACTCGATATAGGAATGTCGTTTTCATCAAGAATATCGGCGACGTTCTTCGTGACTTCGATAGTATAATTGGTGGTAGGGATATAGTTGGCAATGGTTGGCGAGTAGTTCTGGTAGTCTTTGCGAATACCCAGGTCAAACACCAGCTTCCTGCCGGAAGGATGCTCGAGTAAAAATGTGAGACACGGCCCTGGTCTCTTCTTCTCGACGTGCGGCACTTGAGGCAAGACGAACCGTGTGAGTATGGCCGGCCCAAAGTTCACGGGGTTGATCATTCGAACAGCGACAGCCGTGTTGCCAGCAGGCACTTTGAAATGGGGCTTTGCTGCTGCCATGTCGGTATGGATAGAGTGGACCAAATTAGAGAGTCAAGACGTAGATTATGGGATGATCGTTGTCCTCAGCACTGAAGAGTTGTACGCTGGATTTGATATCGGCACAGTATTTCTTTCCGGCCCGACTTAGTTTGATTAGAGCCCTACAATCTTGCCGGATGACTAAAAAATTGCCTTAGGTTTTACAGTAACCCTTGTGGTTCAATGCAAAATTGCTGGGGGTAAAGTAGTGTGGAGGCCCCGGTGGGCTTTTAACGGTTCCTCTCGCCTCCCATCCGGCTACAACTGCGCAGTTCAGCGAAACAATATCAGGCCCATGCAGCCCAGTCGTAGTCTTCCTATTTGACCTACAAGTACATGGCGGTCTATCAAGCATCTTGAGGCACGAGAGCAACGCGGGCCTTGACTTTGCCATCGCACAAGCTCTTCAAAATAACTGGAAAGTCTTCGAGTCCAGCTGTCTCGACCCGTGGCTGCACAACTCCTCTGGAAATAAGGTCCAGTACTTCTTTGAGGTCACGCAGTTGACCACCGTAGGTGAAGTTGATAGTCAGACGCTTTCGGACTCCAATTTTCATATCGATCTTGTTCTCTATGTCCAGAGTTCCAATACAGACCATCTTGCCCCCTCGTCGTACTGTTTCGTGTGTTAGAAAAGCCAACCTAGAACGGCGTGCTCAAAAGACAGAATATAATACTCACAAACTTGCTGCGCATCAGTGAAGGTCTGGTGCTTTCCAACAAAGTCCAGCGTCGTGTCAATCTTTCCGAACAAGCCTCTCGCTTCTAGAAACTCCTGAACAGACTTGCCGGCTGGGATAGCATCTGTACTGGGCACACCGATCTTGATGGCCTCGTCGAGAAGCTCTTGTCGAATGTCGGATACGATGACTCGAGCCCCAATATGTAGAACGATTTGCAAGGCATTAAAACCCAAGCCGCCTAGCCCGAACAGCACCACCGTCTCGGTGGGCTTTACTTCGCCGCGGCCCATGATGGCATGATAACTAGTCTTGACAGCATCGGTGGCTACGGCTGCCACGTGGGAAGGTATATCTCGTTATGTGTTAGAGACTGTTGTAGGTGAAAGCAAAAGAAAACACCTCCAGGACGCACAGTGGGAACAGAAACCTCTTCCCACACCTATGTTGTTTCAGATGTTGTTTATTTAAATCAAGAAGTTCGTGTCATATTTACAGGCTCTGGGTTTCCCTTGTGTTTCCTCCATGCGAACATGGTCTTTGGTAGTTGTGGTGCCATGTTTGCTACCAAACTCGGTCTGCTTAGATTAAAATACAAAAGTGAGAATCTTAGTGCTCCAAGAAAGTGGTTCTGACAACACAGTACTTCTGATCAATATCCTCGCATTTTCTAGACGCTAGATTCTCAAGCGTTCCCCCTGGTGACCGTCGGTACCTCCTCCGCTTATAGATAGCTGTGTTCGGCTCGGCCAGCACGGCCTGCCGACTGAGCAACTCGATATTGATTTGTGTCCGGACCATTTAGCGCTTCTACAAGCTCCACGTAGTGCACGGCACAGACGGAGCTTGAGAGTGCATCCTGTTACTTGGCAATAAGGCATTGCCTAGGACTGATAGATGCCACGATTTGAGTATTGTGTGGGTCCACGAACAATCTACTTTGAGACTATGGGGGTGAAGTACATGACATTGTCCACAACGGTATCGTCTTCCAATTTCCTTTCAGATGGCATTATCTTTTTATGTTTCTAATTCCGACGGCCTTGTGGCTATTGCCGACAGTTAGTGGGAAAGTATTTGACTTATTCCTTGTAGATTCTCACTTTATAATCGTCACGCCACTGGTCCTCAATGATTCGGAGCTGGGTAGCCTGCTTCTTGATATAGTACTCGTCCGACGGGTCTCGGTAGTCTTCCTTGTCTACGTCCACAAAGCCCTGGGCAGCAAATGATCTTGGGGTGATCATGAGCGAACGTCCTAAGGATTGAGATTAGCAAGTATTCCACCGATGAAGTTGACATGGGCTCACCATTAACGCCTTTATCGCAAGCGATTCTCATCATTGCACCAGCACAGTCAATCTGCTCGCCAAATTCAATACCGTGCTCGATGAGCCATGTCTCATACTCCTTGGTTCGGATGGCGCTCTTGATCCAACAGGGTGCTACATAGTTGATTCGGATGCTTTGCTCCCAGCTATTGCGGCGGACAGTCTTCATGAATCCTTTGAGACCATACTTGGTCGACGTGTATTCCCAGTTGCCCTTGTGATATGTCAGCAAAGATGAAGACACTTCTCACACCATACTCACCGGAGAGTCAATGTAAGCAACCATACTTCCAGTCATGATGAAGCAACGATCCCTCTCCTCGTTGTCTGGTTGCCTTCGGAAGTAGTGGACAGCTAACTTCCACGTGTAAAAGGTGCCCTCAAGATTGACGTGGACAATGTTCAAGTCCGGCTTAGTGGGTGGCCCATTCGGGTCTGAAGGACAAGAGTTCATGATTAGAATCTCTCACGATGCTTTCGTCTTCGTCGCAACTCACCATCCAGGTTCCAAAGACTGTCTCCCGAGCTTCGACTGATACCAGCATTGGCAATGACAACATCAACGCTATTGTTCGGACTACTGTTCTTGGCCGCTTCAAATACCTTGATCTGATCGTCCCAGTTTCGAATGTCGCATCTGACAAAGGCAGCCCGGGGACTTGAAGAGTTGGCGTTGAGGTCCTTTTCCACGTCGGCTCCTCGTGGGTGAAGATCGGCAAAAGTTACAAATGCTCCAGCAGCCACGAATTCCTTGACCATGACCTCTCCCATACCATTTGCGCCACCAGTGATGATGACAGACTTGCCCTTCATTTTAGACTTGTCGGGGGTGACTGTGCAGTCTATGGGACCATTGTAGGAGTATTTGGGAATGGTAGGCATCTTCAATCTTGATATTGTATGTGATTGAGTGATACCTTTTTCAGATCTAGTAATGAGGCAAAGCTTGGTCTGGATCGTGTATTCTATATTGCTTCGTTGCTGTCTAATGTCACTTATGTTGGAAAGATGATGTATTTCTTGCGGGCTCAAACTTTACTCCAACCTTCGGCTTGCTTCACGCCCATCCCCGACTTCGGTTGGGATCCGGATAGTGGGGATAACGGTTGTGCGCCCCGGGATTCCCAAAGAGGTCGCGCAGCCGGCATTTTGCGCCAGTCGGTTTTGTGGACTTGACCCCCCATATCTACCGCGGCATCTCCAGAAGGCAGAAGGTGGAATCTGGGGAGGATGTGACTAGTAAGGTACAGATGACTCTAGGAGGAGCAAGTAGACGGACAAGAACGGAGACATTAGGACTGCATACTCCTCACGGAACCCGATGAAACCACTAAGAGCATTTTAATCACGACGGCTTTCTTACCCGGACCTCGAAGAGAGAATATTTTGATGCCTTTATCTTGTGCTATTCTTCAATGCTAACTAGCCTTCGGGCAATGTCACAAGGACAACGTGTTGCACGATACCTGGAAGAAGCCAGTCATCGTACTTCCAGGTTCTGATGCACGCTTCGGCATAGCTTGTACATCTCCAAACCACTTTGGCCTGCAGGAGCCGGATACTTCATCAAACCAAGTCGCAATATTCCTCTTCCTCTGCTAGATTCTATCGCATAGCCTGCCTTTTCTCGATGACGGGATATACCCATTCACCATTTGACATACCCTCTTCAGCCCCGTAGAATCGCATGCTGAACGAAAGCTTCCCGCCTCCTGCTGGCGCCGGCAACCAGTTTGAGATCCAGTTCTCTGGGGGACGCAGATCGGCGGGCTGCAAAAGTATCTGGAATAGATCATCCCTTGCATCATCAGAGATTTCGTTCTCCCCATACACCCTGCCGCCATCGCTGTAAGCTATCGTACTCCGATCCCCAAGGACATATCGTTCCAGATCATTCGGGATTAGATAGCCATTGCCGTCGTAGACAGTTATACTCCAGAATCCAGTACGCTTCAACTTGGGCTTGGACGAAAATGTCACGACATATGCTTCGTCAGGTCCAATGGAGTACTCATAGGCGATGGACGGATTACCAGCTGTGTAGACAGGGTAGAAAGACTGATCGCGGGTTAGGGCTAGATACCCTCGTTGAGCCACGATGTGACGAGCATTGTAAAACGATCCATAGTATCCAAGGATGTGATCGGCAGTCTTCGACCAGTCGTTGCCCAGGTGATCAGTCATACCTGCGAGCCGCCTCAAGTTCAAAGACGAATCGTCAGCTACTATGACCGCCGCAGCCAAATCAGTGCCTTGGGGCTGCTTAAATTGACCATTGGAGATTCCAGCTTGTCTCAGCATATCGGCGACCCACGGTCGATCGCTGACAACTGGGGAGAGATTATATGGTGCCAGTTTAGCAAGTAACTGCAAGACGGCCTCAGCTTGTGAGATGTTTTCGTTTCTGATAAAACTGAAGAGATTGAGATCCAGGCTTGGAATGTCCGTGTGAATACTGCTTTTGACTGGGTTGAGTTGGATTTTTCCCTGGTATTCAACCACCCGTGCCACGTCGCTCTCTGTGTTGTTCACCAGTATTCTTATAAGTGCCAGCCCGTATGGAGTTGGTGAATTAACAACGGCCTGGTACCCTTCGGGGATATCGCTGGATTCGATACCAAAGTCATCACTGAAATATCTAAGTAGATATTTGCCTGCCTTCCACCCTTGCAGACTGCCGATGTTGGCGAAGTTGTTACCGTATAGATCATAGAACGGAAAACACCAGTACCTGTCATTGATCTCAGGAATAATGAACTCCAGATCCCTCTTTGCTAAGTCGTAAAAAATGGCCGAGTATAAAGTGTCAACGTTGGGTCGGACGAGATGTCTGTCTTGAGCTGTCGCCAGCTTCTCCCCTCGATATAGAGTGTTGGTCTCTCCGGGATACCCTAAAGCCATCTCTGCGAAGGCATAAAGTGGGAAACCATACTATTGTGCTTAGTCTTTTGTAACATTATGAAGCTTACGATAATCTACCTGATATGCAAATGCCAATGCATTTTGTGATCGTCGTTGCTGTGACATGACAGATGCAGTTCGAAGTCAATTGATCTCGAAAATCCTCAACAAGAATAATTCTAGGATCAAGATCAAGATGCTTAGGAAAGTACCTGTCGTTGTATGGCTAGTTTGTCTCGAATACTTTAGGCCACATGATTCCCGTGTCAATGCTATACGGAAAGGGCGAAGGTAATAGAAGTGTAAGTTATCCCAAGACTAGCCGTATCCGTATTACCGACCTGAATTTCAATGCGTCGGTAAAGCCGGCAGATGACCCCTCTTGTGGTGATTGCACATTCGTGTATGCTGTAATCTAGGGTTTGTCCATGGGTTAGCGATCATGTGAGGCACAAACATGTGTCGATGGGTCAATTCAACTATTTTTTGATCCTTGCCACTTAGTTAAAATCACAACAGATGGCATGAACGAACAAAATTTACTGTTCATCATGACCATATTGCCTTACGGTCTCACTAGACCAACGCACCAAAATCCAACCATAGATGGCGCGTATATAGCGTATTCATATTCGAACACGATTAGTCAACTCTCAAAATAAAAGCCGATTCTTCCAACGGTGTTTGGATGAGATGAGCTTCTAGTAGGTATAACGGAAACCGGGCAGGTTCTCAAGAATGAAGTCTCCCCTTGCAGCCTGGTGGTTGCGCACGTAGAAGAATATTGTCATTAGTCCAACCAGCAACAATGTAAGTCCGTTAGCACTGTAGAAATCGTCAGGTTAGTAGTTGGGAACATGCATAATGCAGGGATAATGGCTTACACAAGACAAGCAGTGATCCCCGGAACATAGTCAGGAGCGTCCTCAGACCGAAAAACCAACGATCCAGCAATACCGCCAATACCACCCAGAGACGATAGACTAGCATTGCAGAACGCACGCTTCCAATGTCCGCGAATGTTGTTGGCTTGATAGACCATGACAGCTGGGATGTTTGCAGAACAGCCTGCGGTGACGAAAAGAGAGCCGACGTATTGAGAGCCAGAGCTGGTGGTCCAAGTCATCATGCACAACCCAGTGGCGGATAACAAGGCGTTGAAGACGAGACAGGGGCCACGCAGGCGGACTTTGTCGCAGATATAGCCTTCCACAAACATCAACGCCATGGCAGCTAAATATGGAGGACTACTCAGAGCCTGAGCCGCTGCGACACTGAAGCCCATTTCACCTTCGAGAATAAGGGGCAAGTAGAAGCCCACCGAGTATGCCTGGATTGTTGAGCAGCTATGTGTGCTGTTAGTATCTTGTCGAATATGGGAGCCAACAAGGCTGACTTACAAGAACAATAATCCAAAGGACCAGATCTTCCAGTCGAGTGCAGCCGAGAACAGCCGTTTCCAAGAGAAGTTTGGTGTTTCGGCATCAGCACGATCACGGTTGATGTGCCTGATCACAAAATCCTTCTCTTTCACGGAGAGAAATCCCCAAGCCTTGTGCGATTCCTCGGGGAAATTAATCATAAAGGCATAACCCAGAACTCCGATAATGATGGTTAACAAACCCTCCATGATGAAGATCCACCGCCATGCTGCCTCGCCTCCGAGTCCACCCATCTGTGAGAATAGGAGGCCAAGAACACCACCGAAAGCGCTGCCAAGGACAGCGATGAGGTAGAATGTCGAGACACGTTTGTGAAGATCGTATCGAGCATACCAGCATGAAATCAGATAAAATTGTCCAGAGAGTGCGCCCGATTCCAAGGCTCCGAGAAGCAAACGGAGTGGGATCAGTGACCTCCAGCTCTGCACAAAGCCGAAGCACTATCAAGTGTTAGCGACACATATCTGTTATGTGGGAGGATTGTTCACAAACCATCATGACAATTCCCCAAGCAACAACGGTCGACGACATGAAAACTCTTGGCCCAATCTTGCGGAGCAACCTGTTTGAAGGGATCTGGAGGAGAATATAGGGACCGAAAAATACCAAGAGCACAATGGACTGAAGGATAGCATGTTAAGGAGAGCACGGATAGAACACGATGGCCACACTTACATAGCGCTTTCCAACAGCTAGATGGAGAGCTTTAGCCATTCTGATGAAATTGTGAGCGATGACTCCTGACCTATATAGCAAGTCACTTACCCAGCGATGTTTGCATTAGACATGTTGGCTCGGTCAAGGAATGACACGGCCTGCATGGCACCGAGGATCACCAAGAGTCTTCTATCAATCTTGTGGATGATTTTCCTTTGCTCCTTGACCGTGTATTCCTCATCTTCGCCGTCATTGTCGGCCTTGGATACTTTATCAGAGTTTTCAATGTGGTCGCCACCGGTGGTTGATATAGCCTCAAGCGAAAATTCCTTCATAGACATGTTGTTCTGGTATAATTGGTAGTGTTACAGGCTGTTGACCACTTTACCTAATCAGATAATAGTTCCGTAATCCTTCCCGGACTCCAGAGCATAGACTGAGGCGAATGGTCTGATATACACTCTCCGTGTGCAGGGAGCACTCGGAGCAGGTATTCTATGTTTCGGCATGAGAAAGCTGTTGAGACTATAGCCTGCTCCCAGATTTTCTGCACGGGACAAGCGGGGACGAGTCCTCTCCGCTTGGAAAGCTTAGAGTTCTGGAGCATAACCACCATATGGGCTAACCTCATAGGGGTTGCCGAATCTCTCCTGGGGCCCCAGATCCCAAAGAAGTCTACCGAACGGTATAACCCTACAGATCACAAATTGAACTTTTGTTTTTGGTCGTGTTCCGATGTACCCGGTGGCATTACGATCTGACATATCCAGATGTTTGGGTGAGAAATCACCCGTTTGCCAACCACAGGCAAGCTCTTGGAGGACGTCATTTGGACATATCGTCCAGAAAATACTTGCGATGTCCTGAAGACCATAGATAACAAGCGAGTGACCCAAACACTCATTACAGTGTACACAAAAAGCCGCATGCCTCTGAGGCAAGAGACAACCCTCGAACCGTAAATTTAACACTTCACAGCCTTTTTAACATGGCGTTTGAGCCTTCATTTAACGACACACAAGATTACAATGATGCCACGCGAGGCTTCATCGCCAAGCTGGAGCCCGGCATCATCAAAGACTCAGAGGGCAAAGTGGTGTGGGACATTGACCAGTTTGGTTTCATGGAAAAGGAATGCCCATCAACAGTCCATCCATACCTTTGGCGTCAGGGCCAACTAAATTCCAAGCAGGGCTTGTTCGAGATTACTCCTGGTATTTATCAAATCAGAGCATTCGACCTCTCGAACATGACCATTGTGGAGGGCAAGGAAGGAATTCTCGTCATCGATCCTCTGGTGTCTTGCGAATGTGCTGCTGCTGCCCTCAATATCTATCAACAACATCGCGGTCAGAGAAAAGTGACTGGCTTGATCTATTCGCACTCTCATGGCGACCACTACATGGGTGCTGAAGGCGTGCTTTCTCCAGAGCAGCTTGCCACCCCACATCTTCCGATTATTGCACCAGATGGATTCATGGAAGCTGTCATGTCAGAAAGCATCCTTGCTGGACCGGCCATGCGTCAACGAGCCGCATTCATGTACGGGAAAGCTCTCCCACGGACGGCGACGGGCCATGTTGGCGTAGGATTAGGAATGGGCTCATCAACCGGCAAAACATCTCTCATTCCTCCCAATCTGCTCATCAAGGAGACTGGAGAAGAACACATTGTGGATAGCATTCGAATCGTCTTCCAAATGGTCCCTGGGACCGAGGCTCCAGCTGAGATCAATTTCCATCTTCCGGACTTCAACGCGCTCTGCGTTCCAGAAACATGTACCAATTGCTTACACAATATCGTGACCTTACGAGGAGCCCAGGTGCGAGACGCCAAAGCATGGTCGGGCTATCTTGATGAAGCCATTGTCTTGTTTGGCGACAAGTCTGATGTTCTGTTCGGAAGTCACAACTGGTCTGTCTGGGGCCAGCATGAACTGATCGATCGACTTGCCACACAAAGAGATTTATATGGCTATCTACATGACCAAACTGTCCGTATGATGAATCTGGGAATGACTGGCATCGAGATTGCTGAGCAAATCCAGTTGCCAGATAAACTTGCAACATCATGGCATTGTCGGGGATTCTACGGCTCTATCAGTCACAATGTCAAGGGCATTTACCAGAAATATATGACATGGTTCGACGGCAACCCAGTGAATCTATGGCAGCATCCACCTGCGGCTACCGGTCAGAGGTATGTAGACTGCTTGGGTGGCTTAGATGTTGTAAGCTTGCAAGCACAAACATATGAGGGACAAGGTGACCTGCGCTTCGCTGCCACCCTCCTAGCCCATGCAAACGCGGCAGACCCAACACATGAGCCAACAAAGAGGCAACTGGCCAGAGTTTATGAGAAATTAGGCTTTGGAGCCGAGAACGCGACCTGGAGAAATTTCTACTTGACTGCCGCACAGCACTTGAGGACCGGGAAACAAGCTGGTATGGTGGCAGGTGGACGAACACCCCTTGGACCAAACCTCTCGGTGGATCAGTGGTTCGACATCATGTCTGTTCAGATTGATGGTAGTACCGCTGCCGGTAAAACTTGCCTTATAAATTTCAACCTAACGGATAGCGGAGAGAGATGGCGGTTGATTCTTAGCAATAGCGTCCTTACACATCGTCGATATCCGGCCAACGTGAAATTAACAGGACAGGCAGACCTGGAACTGACTCTATCGCGGCTGGATCTTTTGGAAGTGCTGCGAGGCAACATGTCGAAAGCTGTACAGCAAAAAGGAGACTTTGGAGCGCTCCAGAAGCTTCTCGGCTTGGTTGCAGTACAACAAGGCTCGGCTCGCGGGCCTAGTCAACTGTAGTACCTCTATGGCTGTAAGACAATACGACGTTACTTAGAATAGTTTGTATCTCAAAATGTCTTACACTCTCCCCGAGGCAGGATTATCTCGAATACGGGTAAAGATGACTCAATAGAATTGTGACGGAGTGTTTCTGCGAGAACTTTTGTAGTCCCGAGGTACCGCAAACGTGGGGATTCTTCTCAAACACCACAACGAGTGCCGATTGGTGGTGAGCCTACTGGAGCTTTTTACATGATACATAATCTCATAACGTCTCTACTTACAACAAAGCTAATAATCGAATCATATCAACTCTGTGAACAAGCAAGCACTATCATGGCAGCACCAAGGAAAGCCGTCAGCATACCTTCGGGTGAGATAGCAGTGACCGTCAAATTGATTAATCCAGTCAATTTTGGACCCGCCATCCTTAAGAGGTTTATGGCACCAGATGTCCCAGGACTAGCGACGTTTAAGACATCACCATCATTATCGTTTCTACTGGAGCACCCGTCTGGTCGACGTCTCGTTTTCGATTTGGGCATTCGCAAGGACTACGAGAATTATTCCAAGTCCATTGCGGACTATCTGCCAACCACAAATTACAAAATCCAGATCGAGAAAAATGTTATTGATATCTTGGACGAGCATGGCGTTCCCGGCACAGACATCGAAGCTGTAATATGGAGGTAGGTCAACACTCACATACGAGAACTTAAGCTCACACCAAAGTACATAGCCACTGGCACTGGGACCATATCGGAGACCCGTCCACTTTTCCCTGGTCTACGGACCTAGTAGTTGGACCAGGTTTCAAAAAAGCCATGCTGCCAGGCTATCCTGCTAACCCGGCATCCCCTATCCGAGAGAGTGACTATGAGTGAGTACTGACTGATCGTGTGCTCTCGCGATAAGAATCTTCATGACTAATTCTTGCATCTCAGAGGCCGGAACCTACGAGAGATTGATTTCGACGGTCCCGAGGAGTTCAAGATCGGACAGTTTCGCGCATTCGACTATTTTGGTGACGGAACATTTTATCTCCTCGACAGTCCAGGACACGCAATAGGCCATCTTTGCGGTCTTGCGCGAACACAAACCAATCCAGCCTCATTTATACTCATGGGTGGCGACATTTGCCATTACGCAGGCATTTTTCGTCCCTCCGAATATCTACCCGTTCCTAAATCGATTACACCTCACCCGTTGCAACCTGCAAGCTCTCTGGCTTTCTGTCCTGGCAGTGCATTTGACAATTTGCAAAAATCAAGAGGGCGCAACCCTACAGATACTTTGTATGACATGACGTATGGCCACGATATCCCGTTGGCAACCGAGACAATGCGATATTTGCAGGAACTCGATTGTCTCGATAATATCTTCGTCATTATCGCCCACGATTCGACAGTTAGAGATGGCGTTGACCATTTTCCCAAATCACTCAATGCGTGGAAAGAGAAGGGCTGGGGGAATGACCTGAAATGGGCCTTCTTCCGTGATCTGGAACAGTACTGGAAATCTCAAGCAGTGGCTAAGTAGAAACAATGGGACAAAGATATACAATGTGAATCTCTATTTAAATAGTAGGGCAACACGCGCTTTGACATTGCCATCACAAAGATCCTTGAGTGCTGTCGGAAATTCTTCCAGTCGTCCCGTTTCGACCTGAGGCCGCAGTACACCTTGAGCAATCAGATCCAAAGCCGCTTCGAGATCTTTTAGCTGGCCGCCGTATGAGAAGATAATGCTTAATCTTTTTCTAATGCCGATTTTCATGTCGATCGTGTTTTCAGTATTTAGCGTGCCAATGCATACCATCTTACCACCGCGACGCACTGCATCAACGTTAGAGGGGATCTCCAATTCACGTTCGTGGTGGCACTAAGCCTGAAAACACAAAGGATTATAGAGGCTTACCAATATCCTGTGCATCAGTAAACGTCTGGTGCACTCCGACAAAGTCCAACACTGTGTCTATCTTGCCGTAAAGATCACGCTGCTTCAAAAATTCGCGTACTGAGGTACCTGCAGGGACTAGGTCCTCTCTAGGGATACCTAGTTTTTCTGCCGCGTCAAGTCGTTCCTGGCGGACGTCTGACACGATGACCCTTGGGCCGATATGCTTAATGATCTGCAAAGCGTTGAACCCTAACCCTCCCAACCCAAACAAGAAAACGGTTTCAGAAGCCTTGACCTCTCCGCGGCGAGTAATTGCATGGTACGCTGTCGTCACAGCATCAGTGGCCACTGCACCTACTTCTGGCGAGACACCTTTCCCCAGTTTAGCTCGTGCGACCAGAACCTCTGTGTCATTTGAGTGAGACCACTATACCTTCTGGTAATTTTACTGCACCCCTGACATCGATGGCCGCATATGGTGCGTAGAAACCATCTTGGCCGATTCCAGAGTGATGGCATTTGAGACACAACTGCGCCAGGTCTCGAGAGCATTCTTCACAAGAGGCTGAGCCGCAGCCAGGAACTGAAAACATAGCAATGTGGTCGCCCTGGGGTGGAAGAGGTTACTAGAGTTCTCGTGGCCAGTATCATGTAGGAATGCATACCACTTTGAGATGCGAGTCTTGAACCTTGTCGCCGATGCTTATGATTTCACCAGCCCCCTCGTGTCCCTGATCGTATCAATGTTAACTTGGCAACAACAAGTTTGTGACCACCACTTCTCTGTTGAACATACCAAAATGTATTTTTCTTGAAACCATGGACGTTGGTTTTCGTTCGTTAGAAGGCTGTGGTCGCTATGGCAGACTGATCTGCCAATTAATACATTTGGCCTGTAACATAGTTTCGAAGCTCGCAAGTAAGACGTACCTCCAGACGCAAGCATCTTGCACAGAAAGCCCGTGAGAGGGGTTTCTGGCACGGGGACTTCTTCCCATACCTATGGAAATGCCTGAGTCTGGCTCCATGAAACTCAAAGGCGGACACCTACAGGTTCTGGATTACCCTTGTGCTTTCGCCATGCAAACATGGTCTCTGGGATAGATTGTGCCATCTTGGCTGATTTCAGCATGATATTCTGTGTATACTTTGCGGATGTATTTTGGGTGACTGCAACAGACACCAGAACTGGAAATTATCAGGATCGAGTCGGATAAAAGTCGAGCATCCGCATAGCTCCACATGGGGGAACCCCGTTATCATTACTGAGTACACAATCCGTCTTTCGTACTCTTCCTCCCTCGACACTTGTTTTCGGCTTTCCCTTTGAATACTGTACTGAAAATGACTGCAGAGTAGTTCTTCCGGGAAATACAGAATACTCAAGCCGCCCCTTCAAATTGCTTCGGCTACCACTCTAACCGCTGCCGAAGGCCGGTATACCCAGAGCAGAGTTGCCGAAGGCGAAGATTCGTATGTGTTACTCCGCACTTGCTAACCACAATTCGACCTTTACCCCCGCGATGGTCCGAAGGTTTGCTGGGTGACAACTTTTATTACCCCGAAAACTCCTGAATCCCAAATCCGAGGATTCGAAGAAGGCGACCAGACTCTCTGTTCCTCTCCTTGCCGTCTATATTGAACAGCACACCTCAAAGGAGGTACCTCTGCCATGGGAAGTATCAGTTTGTCACCTTTCGAGGCGTCGAACCGACAGTTCAACTACGATGTCCTCATCGTTGGTGCTGGCCTGAGTGGCATGTTCTCGTTGTATCGCATGCGGCAATTGGGGCTTCGTGTCAAAGTCTTGGAGGCAGGCTCTGGCGAAGGTGGCACATGGTTCTGGTGAGCTTCTCTGCCTGTTGTAGTTTGAGGATCAAAGAGCCGGCGAGCCAACTTTCAGAACTAGGAATCGCTACCCAGGAGCCAGGTTCGACTCTGAAAGCTACTCGTACAACTTTTCATTCTCACAAGAACTCCTTGACGAATGGAGCTGGACTGAGCATTTTGCGCCACAGTCCGAAACGCTCAAGTACTGCCAGTTCCTTGCGGAAAAGTTCGACCTGCGACGAGATATGCAATTCAACACGCGCATCAAGTCCGCTCACTACCAAGAAGCCACAGATTCATGGCTGCTAACTGATCAAGACGGCAAGACGTATTCTTCGAGATTCCTGATTACATGCTTGGGGATTCTGAACGAACCCACATATCCCGATATTCCAGGTGTGCACGACTTCAAAGGCGAGGCATTCCATACGGCTCGATGGCCCGACAATGTATCATTAGAGGGCAAACGAGTAGGTATCATTGGCACAGGAGCCACTGGCATCCAGACGATCCAGGAGATTGTCAAGACTGTCGGCCACCTGACCGTCTTCCAGCGAACACCTAACTGGTCGGCTCCTTTGCACAACTCGACAATCTCGCCCGCGGAGATGATGAAAATCCGGGAGCGATATCCCGAGATCTTCAAGTTGTGCAATGAGTCATATTCGTGCTTTATTCACGGCGCCGACACGCGTAAGACACTCGAAGTGCCCGAGGACGAGCGCTTAGCATTTTGGGAAGACTTGTACTCGCGACCTGGGTTCGCCAAGTGGCTCAGCAACTTCGGCGACATCAATACGGATAGAGCTGCCAACAAGGCCTTCAGTGACTTTATTGCTGATAAGATTCGCTCACGCGTCAAGGACCCCGTGACCGCAGAGAAGTTGATCCCTAAAAATCACGGCTTTGGCACTCGCCGTGTGCCACTCGAGACCTTCTATTTCGAAGCATACAACCAGCCCAACGTCAGACTAATTGATATCACTGAGGATCCTATTCAGTGTATTACCGAGAAGGGAATTCAGACGCTTGGCGAACTCGTCGAGCTCGACATTATCGTTTACGCCACAGGCTTTGACGCCGTGACAGGTGCATTCTCGGCCGTTGATTTCCAAGGAGTTGGAGGCCGGAAACTCACAGAAACGTGGAGCGCTGGACCACGAACACAGCTGGGCTTGCTAGTGCACGATTTTCCGAACATGATGATGGTCATGGGTCCACACCAGATGTTTGGGAATATCCCGCGCAGCATCGAGTACGCCGTGACTTGGATTAGCAATTGCATTGGCTACTGCCGCGACCACGATATCAAGCGTATCGAGGCCACTGAGGAAGGCGTCAAAAGCTGGACTGAGCATGTACACGAGTGCGCCGAGGGCCTGTTGGCTAACGAGGTCGACTCGTGGATGACAGGCGTAAACAAGAACCTCAAACATAAACAGAAACGTATCATTGCGCGATATAACGGTCCTGCGCCGGGATATCGCAAGTTCTGCGACGGGGTGGCATCAAGAGGATATACTGACTTCCAATTAAATTGAGGTCGATGTCTTGGATAAGCTGCATCAATCTTTGATTGTAAGCATTGTTGTTTCAAACGAGAATCGATCTGGATTTCTGTTGTAGTTTGACTAGCTATCCCGAAATATGTGTCTTCAACAGAACTTTCATCTATGGTCTTTTCATGTCTATCTCTAGTCGTGTAAATGGGTGCGTGGCTTGGGAGATGGAGATCCCGAAGCCCGTTTGTTGGATATTTCAAAGCAAGCTGGATGTTACTCATCCTGACTTCGTCTCATCTCTGGCATGTGGACATTGACTCGCTGTAGTTTTCGAACTTTGTGAAAGACACTCAAACGTAGTGACCCGTGCCGGCACTCTATGACGGCCGTGCATCATTTCAGAGTTAATATGTCAGGCCTGAGATGCTCAATATCTTATTTATTCTTGAGTAAGCTTTCAGGTATCTTATCATATACCATTCGCCCCAAACAACAATCAGCTCGTTCCGAATAATGTCATTCAGTAGATATGAGTAAACCATTTATTGTAACTCATGAGTATGGCACCCACTAATAGCACCCCAATGCACAGTCTTCGACCATATGCCTCGTCGAATTTGCTTGCGGCTGGCCATCAGTCTGCTCCACGTACCATGATAGATCACTATCCGGCTTCATCTCCCATTCCATGAATCCATTGCCCATGAACCTGAAGGGGTTTGTACTGTTATAAACAATGTCGTAATCCTCGCCACGGATCTCGCTGATTAGTCGTTTGAAGAGCACCGCGCCACCAGCAAACAGGGCAGTGACGCGGCCGTTCACACGACCTCGCTTATACCAGCTGCTGCAAGAACCTGTCCATACTAGCGTTTTGTGAATCTCGTCGCCATAACGCACGAACGCTTCGACTGCTGATTTCTTGGGCATGACATATTTGATGTCTTCAGTTGCTATTTTTTTGATCATCTTTACGAAATAATCTCCTGTCCAGTTAAGAGATTCAACCAGAGAGCCATGGCCGCCGAGACAGTTGGGTCCCATCATCATGAAATAATTGGGGAACCCGTCCGTGGCAATCGAGAGATACGACTCTGGCTCGATGGCCCATTTGTCTGCGAGGTTGACGCTGTTTTGGCCGACGATGGGATAGCGAGGACAGTGCGAAACGTCAAAGCCCGTTGCGCAGATGATCACGTCACACTGAAATTCTTGGCCGTCGGCTGTACAGACGCCGTTTTCTGTGACCTTGGTGATAGGACTGGTGGTTAAGCTGCAGTTGTCTCTGAGGAAGGACTCTAAGTACCCAGGGCCTGGGGTCACGCGCCGACAGCCCATCTCCCATTTAGGGATGAGTTGCTCACAGAGCACTGGGTCGTGATTGAGCTTTGCGGCCATTTGCTCGGCAGCTAGCCTCATGACCTCAGTGTTTGCCTCGCCCTTGATGAATAGACGGAACGCCTTGTTTGTTCGGGCGATGATGCCTTTACGATATTGTTTGTGAGTCTCTGGGTCCTGGAACTCTCTCTTTTCGCTCTCGTAGTACGCAGGGTTCGGGTCTTCATCTTCTCTCCCCATGTGTTTCGAAGGAGGCACTCGATAGTAAACCCACGCAGGTCCACGGGCAAAATTCCTGACCGTGTTGCCTGGCAACTTTGCCATTTGAGGGACGATCTGAATTCCTGAAGAACCATTACCGATAACAGCAATTCTTTTGTTCGAGTAGTTGTAATTATGATCCCAATCAGCGGAGTGAGTGATATGTCCTTTGAAGTCGAAGAGGCCCTCAATTTTAGGCCATGAGTGATTACTTAGTTTGTAATGTCAGCTGTATTGTCCATAGAAAGCCAATACTAACTTACACCAGAACACCTTGACCAGAGATAAGGATGTCACAGTACTCTTCTCGTCGCTGACCTTCGTGTTCTACCGTTACATTCCACTCAGCCGCTGATTCGTGCCATTCAGCTGCGACGACTTTGGTATTGAGATGCACGTCTCGATCCAGATTCCACTTCCGGGCAGTGGACTTGATGTACTGCTCAATCTCCTCTCCACTTGCATAGAATCTGGTCCAGTTTGGATTGGGATCAAATGGGAATGCCTACTACGTCAGTGAACAATTCATAGTTCTGAGACGAGTCTAGACTCACGTAAATGTGTGCAGGGACATCACATTGGACACCAGGATACGTGTTGACGAGCCACGTACCACCAATATCTTTACGGGCTTCAAAAATTTTGTGGTCGACGATGTCCTGAAGCTCAGGAAATCGGTGTTGGAATTTATGGGCGATTAACAAGCCCGAAAAGCCAGCGCCAATGGTAATCACTCGGATTTTACGGGGTGTGTAAGCGTAGCTGGGGTTCATGGGAATACAGAACCGAAAAGGATCGTCGTTTTTTGTTAGAACAGGGTTCTTTGCTTCTGAATGGCCGTTTGTGTTGGGTATTGACTCGGGGAGGTCGAGGCTTTGATTCTTAAGAATGTCCGGAATCTCTCCATCCACTGCTAGAGGTGTCAGGGTGCCGTTGGTTCCCAGATAAGGAGCCATGTTTAATGAGTACTTGGAACCTTGGGCTTGGGGTTGCGGAAGCAGTGTAGCAGTTGAATTGAAATCTATGAGATCCTCAATTGCAATTAAGTACGAGAAGGATATCCAAGTCGGGGGATCTCCGACCATACCGAGTCGAGAATACTCAGGCCACAATACACACCTCGTGTACCTCTTGCTGATCCTTAAGCTAGAGCTCCCGAGAAGTAAACAACACACAAGATCTCGTAGCCACCAATTCAGCAAGGTCAATCCCCTGTCCCCGCGTACTTCGGCAGCGGGAAATGCCACGCGGTATACTGTTTTGGGAACACCGACTAGCCAATGATAGCCTCCAAACGATGCCGAAGTCGAGTCACGATCTACCGAAGGACGAAAAGCCAAACGCTACAGCAGCAACAACAAGCCAATTTCTCCTGATGATTGCACGAGTGCAATCTAAGGAATCCATAGACTTTATCGCACCAATAACCCCTACAGACGATAGTGGGCTCTTCAGCAGATTGTGATCCACGAAAAACCATCGGGAGAACTGGCAAAGAAAACCCGACCCTGGTGAGAAATAGGGCATCGCGTTCCGCACAGTTTCATTAACCCCCCCACACATTCCCCCACTTCTCCGCGTGTCGACAACCATCTCTTGGAGCAAGCAATACAGATCCCGACATGCCGAAATCTCCTGACCTACAATTCCATGTCACTGCTGCGTCCATGAGTACTTCATGAGGTATGGCTGAGACGTCCTGGGTCGAGTTCTCCGCGGTTCGCCAGAAGCGAAGACGCGCAGCTTTAGCGTGCGGAATCTGTCATTCAAAGAAGGTGTGTGCGCAATGAATATAATGTTCAAGTTCCCTTGAAACGTGTACGGAACTGACCAATATCTCGCCTCCCAGGTCAGATGCGACCTGCAAGCCAGAAGTGCTCAGGGTCATGTCACCTGCAGCAATTGTGCCGCTGCTGGCAAAACCTGTCAGTAAGTTAAGCTTACATTATTGTGAATCACCAATAGCTGTGATTGACCTTTGCCAGGGTCCGTCCGCCGAGGCGCGACAAGGTGCGCGGCCTCACGCGCACAAGTTTTACTCAGAACTTGACTCCGCCTCTCGAAACTTCTGCTGCTAGTAATATGGATGCTCTTCCCAGTGATGGTGGCAATCAATCTCCCGACTTAGATATGTCTCTCGATTCGACGGCGGCAGCTACACTCACGGCCACAGCAGACGGCCACGGACCCGAAACCGTCTCGCAGCGGGGTGCTCCTTTGGCCAATATTCCCAGACCAAACCGAGCCAGCGTGCCCTCGGCCTTCGTCAATGATATTTCACCAAGTGCACATTCCGATCGGTATACCATTGATCCTGGCTTTCTTGCTGTCTACGGACCCGAGAACGAAAACGATGCGAGACACCAAGCCATGACGAGCCAAAAGACGACGAACCTCGGCAATCTCACTCAACCAGACTTGCAGCAGAGCTTTGCCGAAACATATTTCGAGTATTGCTATCCTTGGTGTCCCGTCCTTGACAAATCTTCGCTGAGCATCGACCTGGCGAAGTCACCACTCCTCGACGATGCTCTCGCTCTGGTGGGCAGTCATGTTCAACCACCCATGATCCCCCACGCAGGGCCGAGCTTCTACTATGATCGCGCCCGACGGAGATTCTATGAAGATGGTGAATCCGACCTGATTACCTCCCTACGTGCCGTTTTGCTGTTTTACTGGTGGGCTCCTCGACCGCCAAGCCTGGTGCACCGGCACTCGTCCTGGTGGTGGACGTCTGTGGTAATAAGACATTGTCAGCAAGCAGGCTTTGATTATGAATTGGAGGCTGACTATATGGGGTCTCGCACGAATCTGGGCTTGAGAAGACGGATCTGGTGGACCGCTTTTGTAAGTTTGGTGCAATAGCTGTATACGATTAGCATACTGATATGAAGACCAAGGCCCGTGAGCGACTCACTGCAATTTGCCAGGGTAAACCCTGCATCATCGATCCGGAAGACTGCAACATCCCTGAACCGAGTCTCGCGGACTTCCCTGACGATCTAGAGGATAAAACCAGTGCCGAGATCTTTATTTACTGGGTCCGACTCTGTGCCATCATAGGAAGAATCGCGAAATATCTCTCTCGGTCTACCAACACGGCTTCAAACTCATTTCCCGTGCACTTGGGTAAAGATCTCATTGAATGGGTCCGAAGCCTTCCGCCACACCTTCAATTGCCTGTTGGAGGTGCATATACGGCCAACTTCCACCGCAACGTTCATCAACTCCACCTTCCGTATCTGACGATAATAATTGTCTTGTACCTAAAGAGATCTCCGCCACAAGCGATACCACACGCTCTCCCACCATCGATTCTTGCCGCCACCTGTTTGGCGCGCATAATGAAGGATAGCCTGGTTCGTGGCGGAACGAGATATCTGATGCCCATTACCTGCTGGTACTGTGGCATGGCGTTCATTGCCCTTCTACAGGCTCGGGTGACACAGGACCTGCAACAGCCTGCCGACTCCGATCTTGACATGCTGGCACTTGCTGTCAAGCAGCTGAAGACGATGTGGGGAACAGCCAACGTGTTTGATCAAGGCTTCGAACGACTTCGTGCCACTGCCAACTCTTCGCGGCATGATGACTTCCTTGCTAGGCTCACGGAACAGGATTCCGCCGGATCACAGCTTCAGTCTGATGATAATGGGATCGACTGGCTGGATTACTTCCCCTTCGCCACCGCTCAGACAAGCCCGATTGCTGAAAAGCTGCTGGCTGAACAAAGCATGCAGTATTTTCCGTTTGACAACTTCTGCGATACTTCTTTGATGCATTTCCAAGACGTTTTCGAGGGGTTTGATAGCTGGACCGACCCGCAGAACCTGTTTGGAGATTTGCCAAATCATGATGGAACGTGAAATATAACTTGACCTTTATGAATTTTAGGCCGGCTAGAATTCTCTCTATTTAATTAGTTAATTAATCATTTGCGCATACGAAGATATTAAAGTGTGAGTCTGACTTTTCTTAATAGTATACTTAGGATAGTGTGATTTCTACTATGGTATTATTATCACCCTTAGTGTTATTATCTCTAACTATTATTTATTCATAACAATACGCGCAAACCTTCTAGCTTTCGCACTCTATCACATTTAGCCACTTTGTCTTCAGCTATCACTATCATCTCTGAAACCCTCTTATTCAAGTGTTTTCACCGAGAGATACCCATCGTCATGTGTCTAGAATCTCATCTTTGGGGAGCTTAGGCTATAAGTGGCCTATACCTGGTCTTTAGTCGGCTCTCTTTAACTATATCTTATCGATCTCGCCCTCGACATGCTCAAAAGCAGCCTCCTGGGTCCGTGCCAGAAGGTGTGTGTGAATTGTCATGCTCTGAAGCTAACTGCCACGTAGTCCCGGATTTTTCCCCTTTCCACCTGACGAAAGATTTAACCAAGTAAACGCGATTTCGAGTCACATGGCCAGGGACCATATTACAACGGCCGCAGGCATGGTGTTTTGTTTGCTCTCGCCACCGGCATTCAACTGAATATTCCTCAGGCTAAGAAGTCGTCAGTGGACACGCCTCACGACCAACTGAAGACCGAGAACTAGAGAAAGTCCTCGCCACCATGACTATTTAATGCTTTCTTCACCACTATCCACTATTAAAACCTCTCAGCTGCCCACCTGTAGTGGCGAGAATAATGATATCTCAACAGTGCCTAATTCCACGCTAAGAGCAGATCTTACTTCTCTGAGCGAGGTTTACATTAAGAGATAGGCCGACAGTCTTATTACATTTCGCTCTACCTAGGGTGTCACTGCACATAAGAGTTTATAGATAAGTGAGAAGTATTGGAAAAATGTCCTAAGAACAATGTTATGAATTAGGCCTAGGAATAGACTAATTTTACTAAGCTATGATAAGAGTTATTAACTACACGTAACGACTCTTTCTAGGCTCACACTGCGAGCCTTACAACGCTTCTGTGGCTTTCGTAAACCTTCTCGTTCACTCATAACCTTCTGTTAATGGCCACCGCATAGTTATCCTTACTACCTAACACTCGTACGGGCTTTCACGACATTCACAGGGCATCAGATCAATTCCGTGACTAGATTTTCATTGCACTCTTCGTCGCTCGTAATGGGCGCGCAGTAGCGCTATCATTCTCATAAATCCTGATTAATTGAATGCATGTCTATCTACTCGTTACTCCTGACACTGCAGGAAAGGCAGAGGCACTCACACCCCTACGCGTATTTATCAGCTAATCACAGCATCCTTGGCAGACCCCCTACTTCTCTCGCTACAATATTCTAATATATTAACCCGCTTTATACTATTGATTCTTAGAGTATCTCTTCAATACTTCTCACTTATTTAAGAACTGTTATATACTGTGATGTATTAAGTGAAGCGAAACATAATACCTAACTAGTAGTTACATAATAGCCCTAGCTATTATAGTCTATTACAAGCTTTCTTAATACCTAATCTGGTAAAATGATTCTTTTGTCAATCATTAAATCCTATTAATATCGAATGTGTTATAGATCATTACGCAGAAGTGCGCATTATCTGACATCGCCTCGTCCCATAAGGTATCCGGGAATCCATCGAGATTGAAGCAAGTATTTGACTGTTCGACTGCAGACGGAGGTCGAGAGGTAAGCGCAGGCCCTTGGGCATCATACTGTCCTGCAGTCACTGAGTTTGGACGTCACTACGAGAATGGCATTCATTTCAGTAACGTGCGAATCAGTTCACACCACTGCTATATCGACATCAATGGTTCATCTGGTGAGCTAATACTTCATCTTATAGGGCGACATCTCAATACGACGTGGCTCGACAATGAGCCCATCTCGTCATCCTCCTAAGGAGTGTTAATTCCAGACCATGCGAACTTCCTCAGAATTGGACCCATCATGTTTCAGATCCATTGGCCGCCTGTGCGCTACGAACGGCGAACAGCCTTGCCCGGACCAGTAACTCGAGATGTCTCAATAACTGTACCTAAACCTCCGATTTTCGAAATCTGTCAGGTCGTCATTGAGTTCGATGGATTCAACGCCCGTAGGATTTGCCCCTAACTCTTCCCCTTCATCCTGGGCAGCTTGGTCACGCCTTTTGTTCCGTGAGACCAAGAGCATCCTTAATCCCACTGCCAGCGCAATCTGGCCTGCCGCACATGCGAGGATCACCTCGGACCCAGTTTGATAAATTGGAGCTTGAGACTCGAGAAAAGTGTGTGGCCCAATAATGTTGCCCAAGCAGTATGCCAAGAAGACAACTGCCGTAGCGGTCACACGTTTAGTATAGCCTGCCACATTGACAGCCGGCATTTGTAGTCCAATAACGAGACCTCCAACGTAAGCCGGAGACTGTAGTATTTCAATGTCAGTCAACATCGCGGCCTGACCAGCGTAAATCGGTCCGGGGGATTGGGGGGGGGCGGGATAGGAAGACTCACAATGTAGTATGCCATCAGAAGACCAGGGTTTCTTTCACCATGGCGCGGCAGCTTCCACAACAAGCAAGCGGCCACTATGGTTGGCAGATTGTAGACGGCCATGACAATCCATCTCACGTTCTTGAATTTGGTCGCAAGAAAGGGGCCGGTCAGAAAGAATACTGTCACCCAGGCACCGAATGGTATTCCGTACGCAGTAGTCAGCAGTGGATTGCCTCCACTGAAGCCTTTGACAATCAATGGGCCGAAGTTTGCGATGCCACCATTGATGATTTCATTTAAAAGAATGTAGAGGAACAAGATCCAGACTTGCGGGTCGACAAGAGCCTCCTTGACTTGTCGAGTCTTGATCCGTTTGTTGAGCACGCCAGTTTGGTTACTTTTCACACGGGCCAGAAGCATGATTTTTTCATCGGTGGTGAACCGCTTGCCCTGGAAGATGTTGTCGGGTAAGAATATCCACAACACCATACCCCATAGGATGGTTACACCGCCACATAGGACGAAGATAATTCTCCAGACTTGCCATCCTTTTGCTTGACCGACACCGTAGAAAAGCGTGCCGCCTACGATGAGCCCAAGCCCGTTGAAAGAGTAGAAGATACCCGCCCGCGACGGTTGTTCAGTTCGGTCGTACCACATGCCGACGATCATCATGAAACATGGGGTGATGGGTGCTTCGAACATGCCAAGCAAAAAGCGACAGATGGCAAGGCCCGTAAAGCTATTACATGCTGCAGTACAGGTGAGTACTATACCCCAGCATATAACAGCGACCGAAATAACTTTGCCGGTAGGATAGTGCTGAGCCAGGTAGCTAGCGGGCCACTCGGTCAAGAGATACGCAAAGTAAAAGATGCTAGCCTGGATATCCATCAGTTAACTGGTAGTTGGCCGAAAGAAAGCAAAGTTGTAAGATCATCGGGTGTGCTGCAAATAAACAGGTCGAGTTTTCGACTTGACACAAAGTCTCAGGGATAAACACACTTACCAGCCATGAATACTCATTGATGGTAGTACCAGTATCTTTGAACAAGTCAAAAACTGCACCGTAGCCCATCGCTTGTTTGTCGATGAACTGGAGAAAGTATGTGCCGCACAGTAGGGGCAATAGAAGCAGGTCAGTCCGTGTGCGGAGTCTGCGAAGGCCAGCTGTATCCTGGGCCAGCTCTGTCATGCGAGCATCGGAGACATTGTTCTCATGGATGAATCTAGAGGCTTCGTCCAGGTTGGCAATGTCTATCACCGTCTTGTCCGGTATGCCAGCACCAGTGTGCAGTGAATGCCTACCATCGGGGACCTGGCTGATTTCTTCTGTGGTCGCCTTCTCCGTAGATATTGGATGGTCTGCCATAGTGTGAGAATGGCTGGACAGTGCTTGGTGTACGATCGCAGGACAGGCAGAAGGGCGAATCCCCCTTGAAGTAGTCTGGGGAAGCCGTATTTCGGCTGGGGTCTGGAGAAATAAGCTTCTCAGGGAACGGCTGTTGATTTGCAGCAGAACTGGTGCTGTTGGGATATCTCGGTGAAAATTCTGGCACCGCGGGCAGTTATTCGAGGATGGTTGCGTAAGTATCTCCATATCTCGCGGGCAACCAGCCGAGCTAGCAAACTTCAAAAATGTATATATGTAGTTTCCCGACGGGAAACTTGCTATCACATCGCCCTTGGCGTGTTTTGTATATTTCAATTGGGGTCCAGCGGCGATTGTTCTATAGCCTTCGTTCATGTTTCCTGCCGTTCCGGTTCAATGAGTCAAGTAATTGATTAAGCACGACAGCTAGTAGCCCAAGCGTACGTACGCCTGCTAAGAATTTTATCTTGAATAAACTTATCTCGCATGCGCGCAGTCTGGCGGTTGTGAACCCTCAACAACAAGTACTTGTGGCTTGACGGTTGAGGTTAGGTAGAGCTACGATGTCCCGTACTACAAGATTAACATCGGCCGTCCTACCGCTTTTCGCACTCTTCGTTGCGTTTGTCGCCGTCCGAAGCCGGCGATATTTTGAGACCTTCTCTCAACACCCCGAGGTGACACTGTCGCAGGGCAAGATCAGAGGAATCTTACTGAACGATGGCACGTACCCTGAATCTATCGAGGGATTCATGGGAGTACCATACGCGCTCCCACCCGTGGGAGACCTTCGATATAGACCAGCTGTGCCAATACCGCCGTCAGAGGCAACCATCGATGCTTTTGAATTTGGGCCAAGGTATGGAAAACTGGGGCTTCTTCATCCTAGCACCCCATCTCACACAGCTGCTCTAGATGTCCTGGGAAGAACATAGTGCCATTGCCACCGGGCGCGGACCCTCAGAGTGAAGACTGTCTTACTGTTAATATCTTCCGCCCAAAAGGATGGACCTCGGAGCAGGGCAGGCTCCCCGTGGCGGTTCTGATTCCCGGTGGTGCATTCAATCGGGGCGCTGCAAGA